ATGTTTGCTGTGCTAAAACACTGTTGTAAGTACCTAACCAGTGAGTTAAGGTATGTAAAGCCGTTAGTCAAAATTCTCATAACAAGCCTTGAAGGTACTCTTATTATCCCTACTTTTCAAATGAGGAAACAAAAACGTTTGCCTGATCTGCCTAAGGTTACACAGCAGGTAAGTGGTAAAGATATGACCAAGGCAGTCTGAACCCAGAACCTACTCATCTCTTTGAAATCTCCAAGTTAGCAAGGGATCAATGTCCCCTTCCCTAAATGGGACCAATTATTCAGCCTATAGGATAGTGACATTAGAAAACCCAATTAGGGAGGGAGCCCCTGGAACTGTGGGAGTGCTGAGCAGTAGAGGAAATGTGTCCCCTGGAGACAGAAGAACTGTAGAAGAAACAGGAGAGACCCTTGACCAGTAGTTCTTAAACATAAGTGTGCATCCTAATTGCCCTGGAGGAGAGTGTTTATAAAATGCAGGTCCCGGACATTCTGATTCAGTAAGTCTGGCATGAGACCCAAAAACCTGCATTATAAACAAGAGATTTGAATGCAGGCCTTCATGAAGAATCATTGCCCTAAGGTAGAGAAAAGAGGGAGGCAAAAGACTGCGCTGCCAGGAGACAAAGGAGGATCAGTGGGGTTGGATCAGAGCCAGTTGTTGAAGTTGGGTGTCACCCCTGGCGCAAGAAATCCCCCGTGGGTCCACCAAAGGCCTGAAATGGGCACAATGGTGAAAGAAGGACGTGTGGGCGATGTGGAAAAGGGTAGAGATGAGCATGTGTGGAGTTCTCAAGCTGTAAAGTCAATGGGATTCACCTTGGCTCTCAGCGTCAAGGAGCCCCGAGGGAGTCCTGGAAGCCGGGCCCTGTTCTGGGTAAGCCAGGGCGAGGCCCGCCAGCCAGCCAGAGGCGCTGGGCAACAATGTGCTTTTCAAGGCTGCCCAATCTGGCTCCCAGGATCGAAGAAAGGGAAAGTGGCAAGAACAGCAGCTCAGCATGAAGGGTCTGTTTGGGATCCTGCGGATTGGGCGCGGTTTGCCCCACCACGGGACCCTAGTTTCCTGCTCTTAGGAGCCCAGCGCGCAGAAATCGCGCCCCCTCTGGGAAGGCAGAGGAAGTGAGGTGGCCTGCTACCCCAGAACCTGCCTTCAGGCTCTCCCGGGCCTCGTGGCTGCCTCTGCTGTCGGTCCCGGGAAGCAGCCCCCCGGGAGCCGGCGCAGCCTCGGCGACCCTTCTCGGAGGCCGAAAGCAGGTTGCGAGCAGGACTGGAGGGCGGGGCGGGGTCACGTGACCTCCCCTTCCCCGCCCGCGGGCGCCCAGGGCATCTCCGGAGTCGCGGCAGCCAGCGAGACGCTTGTCCTACAGCGCCTCCTCCTGGACAAGGCGCCAGACAGCCAGGCAGGGGCGCTGCAGCAACCCCGGAAACCCGAGGCCGGGCTGGTCTACGCCGGCCGAGGTCTTCCCGCACCAGAGGCCGTAAGCTCGTCCTTCGGTGTCTCCGGGGCGGCCCGAAGGAGTCGCGAGGGCCCTGAGGGGGCCTCCCACCCCACCTCCCCAGCACTGACCACAGGCTCGCGGCCCGGGAGCGTGCATCCCCCATTAATTAGGCGAGCCCAAGCGGAAAATCCCTCCAGTTTGTCCGTTTATTTATTTATTTGACCGCTCTCCGCCAAACCACTGGCCCCCACAGAGCCCTCGAACGTGCTGCGCTGGCGTAACAAGATCCGGGGATGGTTCAGCTGAACGATTGGCCTCAAGTTTGGCGGTTTGAACAGGCGCCAAGAGGAAAGGCCTTTTTCCAAAGCAGAAGCACCAGACTGAAAAAATCTATATGCTTCCCCGAGGATCACATATATATAAACTCTTTTAAGGTGTTAAAAAATGTGTGTGTTTTAACACCTTGAAGGATTTGGCTTCCCTTTGGCCACTAGCTCGCATTTGCAGACTGTTTCTAAACTACAGATTTAAATTGGGGTGGGGTGGTGAGTCAAGATGATTGAAAATAACGTAGTGAAGGGCAAGATGTTTGGCTATATTTAGATGGAAGGCTGGAATAAAGGAAAGACGAGTAGCGAATCAAGAGGGAGGGAGCAGTGGAGGGATCGTGTTATATCTTCCTGCTCTGACCCACTCGCCCCCTCCCCCCAGCCGTGCCTTGCTGGTTGGATCCCCGGGCTGGGCCGTCTCACTGCACATGCGCCGGACGGGACGCCGGGCGAGCGTGCGTGGCAGGCGCTGCGGGGCCCTGAGCGGTGCGGGCGGAGTACGCAGCTCTGTGCGGTGTGCGACCCGGGGCGCTGCCGCAGCGCCTGCCTGCGGACGGGCTTGGACGTCCTATCTCAGAGAGAGAGGAAACAGACTTTTCTTTTTCAGGAAAACCTGTATTAAAAGGCTCAACTATGCTTTCTGACTTGCAAGCCCTGTTCCGCCAAACCAACAAAATCGCCATGTTGCCAATGGACACTCTCAAGGTTGTCATTTGGATCAGCAATGTCACGTCTAGTGCACGACTTGTCTTGAGTTGTTAATCAAGGCGGGGAAAAACGACCCTGCATTCAGAGAGCACAACTTCTCCCTCATTCTGCACAACTATCAAGTCTAAGGGACTAGTTCCTAGAAAGAGGGTATCTATCCACACCAATTCCGGAAAGTGGCCCTAAATTGGACTTAAATCGGAATTCCGAGTTCTTGGTGGCTTCTCCCCAGCTTCCGGTGGCCCCGCGTGCCCTGCTCGGCGACCGCACTGCGGCAAGGCCGTAAATACCTCTAACAGCTGCCTGCCAGCCCAGAGTGAAATACTGTCTTTGTTCCAATTCCCCCTGCTTCTCGAGCTCAGAAAACAGATTTCTGGCGAAATTTATTTATTTGGAGGAGCATCTGACAGGAAAATACGTTTGGTTTTCAGCCCTGATGCTTTGGCCACATTTCTAACAGGGAGCTGCGCTCTTGCCTAGTCCTCGCGGAGAGCGCAAGCCCAGCTCACAGCCTGACCCGTGGACACCAAGGCCTGGACATGCCACCGACTCCCTGATCTACAAACGGGTAGAGGTTGGCGCCAAGGACGCTGGAAGTGACACTCTCTGGCTTGTGAGCTCTTAGGGTCCAAGTGTTTTTTATTTCATTTAAATTTTGTATTGAATTAACAGTGACAATGGGAGCATTTCCAGCAGTGGTAAAAGCGTGAACTAGTCTCCTCGTGGACTAAGTGGCCTGAGTTCAAATGTGGTTTGCAGATTATTTATTCTTAGATGAAATCGATCATTTAGTTCCAATAAGCTCTTAATGCTACCGCAGTCCTCCATATCTGCCCAGGACATCACCCTCTGATGCGTAATCGGATCTGCAGCCCGCCCAAGTTCGTAGTCACTTGGGCAGACTCGGCCACCAAACCCAGGGAAAAACGACTAAAGGTCTGAACACTAGGGCTTGGCCATCACTGCCACAACTCCTCCCCACCCCCACCCAGGTCCCAGCCGACCTAGGGACTCCTCAGGCTCTGCCCACCAGGGGCCTGCTTTTCAATAGGTAATGATTTTTTTTCCAGCATGAATGATCTCAACAGCCATTGTCCCACAGTAGAGAAATAGTTACAAAATACAGACATTTCAAATAAGAAAGTCATTCAGTTTATTTGTGAGTAATCATAGTTAGTGATGCACGACAATTCCGCAGACGTGAACTAGCCACAAATCGTGGCCTCCATTTTGAAACGAGCGTGATTCCATCGTTAATTACTAAAAATATCTTTCTACAAAGATGTCATTTATTGTTCTGAAATGCTTTTACGGCCAACACAGTTACACTGAAATATTTAGGGGAACATTGTGTTAGGATTTGTAGCTAGGTGCAATGGAGATGATACTCGCCATGCGCAGGTCAACCTCATGCGCAATGCGGCAGATTGTGCAAAGGTTTTAATATTTCACAGCGTGCCCATGAGGGAATAGGCAATAGGATTTAAGAATTGCATCCTCAAGTGCCGTGCGAAATTGGTGAGAGAAAATAGGATTCTTTTTTTCCTGCAAGGATTTTCTTTTGACGCATAGATAATGTTTCGGTTCAGTAATTTTGAAGTAGAGGAGAAAACGTGGCTATAGAACATTTTTTTTTTTGTAGGCAAAAAACCATGACACTATATTTACAGAGCAAAATATCTATTCTTTTCCTACTCTGGCAAATAAGAAACACACACGATGTTTGAACTTAGGCATGCTTCACATTTCTGAAATGTCTATCGGTTTTTCCCCAAAACCTGCACCAGATTTTCTGAGAGTATTACCTCCCAAAACATGCATCCATTTTGTGATATAAAATAATCCAAATTCACCTGACAGATTAGCTGGGGGAGGGACCTTTCTTGAGTCGTTACAAAAATTCTCTAAGAACTAGAGAAACAGTTAAAAATATCTAAAATTCCACCTGATACACAAGGCCCAATAAACCATAAACCTTAGAAATTAGCATCACTCACCAAAGCCTAGAGTAACAAACCAAGCACATCCAGGGTACACAGAGTCCACCCCACCCCCACCTCAAGCCCCAACCCTAGCCCTAACCCTCAAAAAACACCTGTTAGCCTTCCCGGTACCTCTGACCACAGACGAACCGCAAAACCCTGCTCTATACAACCGAGTGCCTTTAGTGCCCCCAGCAAAGCTGAGCCGTCCAGGAACCGTCTACACACTCTTCCCAGGGTGAGGCTCCACAGCCTCTCCATCCAGGCAGTGGAGTCCTTTCTGCCGCCATCCACTTCTCGGAATCTCGAGAGGAAATGGGGCTTCCCTCCGGCTTCTGAGCTCAGCTGACCCCACCCGGGGCCCCAGGGGACGCCCGCGCAGAGAAGGAGTGATTGGGAAGCATGGGGCGCAGACAGCCACCCACAGGTCCCGGGGAAGTGCAGGGGGTCTGGCCAGCCTCAGCGAGCTGCCCGAGGAGGTGGGCGCCTGGAGCTCCTTGCCAGCAGGGCTCGGGGCGAAAGGGGGGCGGGGGCACCTCTTACCCGGAGGCGGCCGAGCTGGAGGCGGCGGTCGGCCGGGCGGCTGCTGTAATCCATTAGGCGCTGCCGGTCTACGCGCGCTCCGGGCGGCAGGGACCCGCTCGTGCCGGGACCGCGCGGCGGCGGCGGTCACCCGGAGCAGGCCGGCTGCTCCTGGCCGGCGCTGTCGGCGCCGGCGGGGGCCTGGGAGCCCGGGGCTCCTTCCGGGCTCTCCCGCCCGCACGGCTCCCCACCGGCTCCGGGGGCGGCAGCGGCGCGGCCCGAGCGAAGCGGCCATGGGGCCAAGTTGGGCGCCGGGCGGAAGCGGAGGCCGCTGCGGACCCCGCACTCCCGCAGCCGGCGACTGGAACCCACCTCTGCAGAGACAAAGGTTAGAAAAAGAGGGGGTGAGGCTCTAGGAAGGCAGAATGCGGGGGGAAATTCGCCTGGGAAATCAGGAAAAAGGCCGTGAAGGCGAGCGGCGCCTGCACATGACCAGCCGCAGCCAATGACGACCGCAAATAGGTCATAAAAAGGTCTATTACCAAGTTGTAAATTTTCTTCAAACAAAAAGGAATTTACTGCAATTCCTTGCGGATTTTGCACATACAGCTCGCAAGCGCCATGTTTTTTCCTCTCTTTCTCCTCTCTCTCTTCTCGTCTCTCTCCTCCTCTTTCCTCCCTCCTCTCCTCCTTCTTCCTCTGTGCCCCTGTCCTCTGCTTTCTGCCTCTCTTGCCTCCACGGTTCCTGACTCTCTCTCTCTCACCTTTCCTAGGAATCATTATTTTTTCTTTCTTTCTTTTCTTTTTGTTTTTGTTTGTTTGACTCGAAACCTCTACTCGATTGGGCGCTGTTAGAGGGGAAATGAGTGCGGCGTACTGCCCAGGCGCTCGGGGAGGTGATCCTGGCAGTCACCACCCTTCCAACTCTCTCTCCTGGTGTGGGTCACTTGGCTTCTCCTCCCCTCCCCTCACCAAAAGGCCCGCTCAGGAAGGGCGGCCAAGCACTTTCGGTTTTTGCCCCCTCTCATCTCCAGGCAAGACAGCCCCAGTGATCTTGCTCAGAAAACCTGGGCTCTGCAGGCCAAGGGAGCTCACAGTCCCTCCTCCCCTCTTCAACATAAATTGGGGTCCCTCCCATTTCTTGGGGTTTCTGCAGTAGGAGAGTCACTAACCAGCTCAAAGGCTGGAAATGGTTTTAGATACTCGTCAACCTCTCCAAAATATCAGTTTGAGCTCCCAATGCCTGGCCTTTATCAGGGCAAAAGCATCCTCTTGGATAGTCCTGGGTGAGAGAAGAAATCTTTCTGGATCCCTAATGAAAGCCCTTGCTTTAGGTCTTCCTGAGTGCAATTCTCATTTCTAAGAAATTTCATTCGAGTTCTCCCCCTTCCCTTGCCCCCTAAATGTTTGTCCATTCAAAAGCTTGCTCAATGCAGTATTGAAGAGAGGGGCTCCTTTTGTCCAGGAAAAGAACAACTCCCCAGTTTCAGCCTTGAAAAAAATAGGCCTTTTTCTTCAAAGGCAGGAGTCACGTTCCCTTTGCACTTCTGGTAGTAGCTGCTCCAGTGAACATCAGCAGAAAGTAAATGTCCTTGCCTGGCCCCAGCCTTCCCTCAGCATTAATGCATGAGCATGGACACGCAGGCTTCAGGACCTGCCTGAAAGAGGTAAACCCTCTCCTGCTATCAAGGACACTGTCTTTGGACTTCTAGTAATACCTTTATAAATATTTGCGTTGGATGTCTATGTGCAAGTTCTCTGCTATTAACATCCTCACACCCAGTAAGTACCTAAGTGGACATGGACTTAAAGCAGGAAGCGCACAGCACCCTCTGGGAGCAGGCCATTTGTGTCACTTGAAAAAGCTCCAGTGACCTTGGATGTTTTTGATTAAAGGACTTCTGTTGCCATCTGTCAGCAAAGGTCATATTCTTTCTAGAAAAAGTCAGTGGGCTCTAACTTTGCTGCAGGGAACCATAGCAGCAGTCAGGGCCCATTAAAATGTTCTCTCTCTTCCCTTGACCATCCCCAGATACCCGTGGATTCAGCCAACACCTGGAAGCAGAAGACACAGGCTTGGATGAGAAACAGCAACACCTTCTACAGTGAAGAATAATAAAACAATATTTTTAATTATACAAGAAAATGGGGCAAGTTGTTGGACCCTCCCAAGCTAGAACACTTTACACTGGTCTATACATGTTGAACCAGAGATTGTTCGATCCTAAAATTTTCTGAGAAATAATCTCAATTTTCAATTTTCCTCTCCCCTTCTACCCAAATAAAAGCGGAGCTTTGTGACCCTCCTTTTCAGCTTGGGGAAGGACAGCTGAGAAAAGACTCTTTGCACTGAAAAGGCAGCCATATTTGCACTTTTTTCCCCTGTACAGAGGTAAACGATGTGCTGGGCTTTGTGGAACCTCACAAAATGGCAGTCCCTGAACTGGCTTTTCTCTAAGAACCATTGAGATCCACACCCTCCTTTGTGTGTTTCTGGTCCTTGCAAACAGAGAACCTAAATCACTTCGAAGGCTTGGTTCTTTCATTCAGTGTTAACATTGGATGGTCCTATTTTTCTCTAAACGGTTTACAGACCTCTCTAAGCAGACTCTCTAAGCAGCCCAGAGCAGAAAAGCATCGTCTGGGTTTGCAAAGGGTTCTCTGAAGGTTTATGCAAATTTCTGCAGCAAAAAATGTTTGCTCCCTTGTTGCAGAAACCCTCGGGTATTTACAGATTTGAGCCAATTAGAAGTGCATCTTCCGAGCTCGTCACTGCAAGTCTATCTGCGTGAAACACCATGATGGGGGGTTTCTAGCCGCTGTAAGAAAGAAGGTGGCAAGTGGGTGTGTGATGTGTAATTCCCCCAGCTCTTTATTTGCAGACAAATCCATGCTTTTCCTAACTACAAAAGGAAATATATATACCTACATTTATTACCAACACTTTCTGCACGTGTGATCTATGTATACGCACAAATACACCAAATATGCAAAAACCCCACCAAATTTGTGTATGTTCAAATACATCAGTTATTGCAACCGCGTCTTTTTCTGTACATGAGCTACAATGTTACCATGAGTTAGGGGGACAATGAGGTCAGAGGTATAACACTTCCAGAGCAGCACAGAATGCCAAGGAAATAAGGGCATTTCTGTCTCCCATTCCTTCCTGGATTTCCACATCCATCCTTGCACCAGATCCCCCACCTGATAGAATGTTGCCTAAATCAGTGGCTCTAAAAGTGATATTTGGGGAGCATTCTTGAGTGGGAGACACTGAATTTTGGTAATAGACAGGAGTCCCTTAAATGGAGGGCTGGCTGACGTTTAGCCAGCACTAGTCTCTGGCCAGCTTACCCCGCACCCCCAGACTGTTCCCTAGCCATACTTTCAGGCTCTTGGCATCCTTGCTCTATACCAGCCAACAGCAGAGCCTCAGGCAGCACACAGAGCAAAACATTTCCAAATCCAGCATGGGCGTTTGCAGCTGTCTCCTCCTGTGCAAATGTTTCTTAAGCCCTGGGCCACCCGTGACTTAAAATTCAGGGTTCAGGTCAGTGAATGCCACAGCCACGGCCTCTTCCCTGGATAGAAAGCCAGGTGGTCCTTCGCTTCTAGCCCGATCTGTGCCAACATTTCCCTGGTCCTTGAAGCAGCAGGCAAAAGCCCACCAATGCCTGAGGGGGTGATCCAGGCCTAAAGCTATAGGATTTCCTTTTCTTACCTGAGCAACAAAAGCCACTTTGGAAATTAAAATGTACCTCTCTAAAAATAAACACAGCTAGAAAAAGCAGAGCTCCTCAATGTCTACCTGATAAAGGTGCTTTCCCTTTTACCAAGAGAAATGTTGGCTTACTTGAATTTCTCCTCTTCTCTCCCTCCCCTCTTTCCCCTCCTCTTCCCTCGTAAAATGGCAGCTGCAGGAGCAGCCTCGAATGGAAAATGGATATCTTGTTAATAACAGATCCCAAACCCCAGCATCAGTGTGGGCTCAGTGGAATCAGCTGTGATGTAACCTGGACTCTGGGTCGTCCCCCAGTGGGCCTACAACTCGAGTCCTTTGCGAAGTTCAAAGCTTTCACAGTATCTGACCAAGGTTATTTAGAACAGGATGAAGCTAGGATAGTGTATCAGCCCTCTCTGCAATGAAAGGAAGTCGCCCCCACCGTTGCATTTATTTATTTATTTTTACCGCTGGGGTGCATGTAACCCCCACCCACTATTTATCAAATAGAAGCTTTAGCGGAAGGTTGCCTTGGTGTCAGCCCATGCAATTGTTCCTGACTCAGGAAAAGGGTTATTTGCGGCGCTCAAAGACACTAGCTCTAGAAAAAGATTAATTTCTTTATTAAGGAGCTAGCTATTTTTTGGAGCGGTTGTTTACACTCAGATTTTTCTGCGTTTGCTCTCAGGGCTTGTTTCAAATAGGTGAGGCCATCCTGGAGAACAGCAGAGGACGTACCAACCGACATCTGAGACGCGCACAGCAAGTTGGCTCAAAATGGGTGTGCAAACAGAGCGAAGGGCATACAAATAAATATGGCACCTACTCAAAAAAACGGAATCATAGCGGCGGCCACAGCATAGAGACCTAGCGCTTTCAGGCGATACCAAGCACGGTTCAAAATGAAAGCAAGTTGAGAAACTAGAGGCATTCCACAAGGCGACTTCCCAGAGTGAGAAGTTAATGAGTGAAAATGTTATAATTGGCTTTTCAAGTATTCATTCACTCTAGATGATTACATTGCCATAATTTGTACAGACTATAGAAAAATTATTAAATGTCAACTTTGACATTGTCCTGAAACTTTTGTCACTGGCCCAACATTTTCCGCAAGTTTAAGGAAGCTGCAGAGCCACGACTACACATTACACTCTTCAGCTAACATGTGCTTTTCGAATATTTGGCCCAGACTTTTCCCAGAGATAGTACATTTACAAAATACTCAAAGAAATGTTTTAGGAGTAAACAAAAGTCACCCGAACCATTCATTATAAAAGCAGAAAGAAAAAAACATAAATAATATATTTAAATCAAATAATATAAAGTAAATATTCTGCAGGCATAATTTTTTAAAAAATTAATAAACTTCTTTTAATTTACTCACCATAAAGAAAAGATTTGAAATGTTCAAGTGCACTTGTTTGATTAATAAAGCATTTTATATTCAATTATTTAGTGCTAATCATTAGGAAGTTTACGTTGTTGAGGCAAATCACCAGCTCAGACATTAAAAACTACCATTATAAAAATATAGCTACAGGATGAGTATCAAATTACCCTTACATAGGACAGCTCGAAGGCTGCTTCTCTGCAATACTAGAAACTGTTTTTAACACCCAAATCCCTCTCAAAGCGCAGAAACCTCAAGAGCAGTGACATGAAGGTAGCTTGAAATGCAGGTAAAGTCCTTTCCAACAAAGAAAATAGGTGGTGTCCACCAGCATATGTTGATCATTAGTTTTAATAGTCTGTGGTAAAATTTTAAAGGTAGAAGTTAATTTGTTGGGCCTTCGGCTCTGTCGTCCTCCAGTTCTTGGGCTTCCTTTTTGGTTTCCCCATCCTTTGCCTCCTGTCGGGAAACCGGGAATTTGTCCTTGTTGTTCTCCTTTTTCCATTTCATTCTCCTGTTCTGGAACCAGATTTTTACCTGTCTCTCCGTGAGGGCTAGGGCGTGGGAAACCTCGATCCTTCTCTTCCTGGTCAGATAAGGGTTAAAAAGGAATTCCTTCTCCAGCTCTAGGGTTTGGAAACGACTGTAGGTTTGTCTTCCTCTTCGTCTACCAGGAGCTGCTGATTAAAATAAACAAACAAAAAAAGAGGAAAACAAACGTTTTAAAAATGTAATGGTGTCTCAGCAGGTTGCTGGAGGTTTCTGGAACGGGTCTAAGGGGTGAAATACACACAATTCTCTTTAGCTCTGATATATATAGGATGTGCAAGCAACAGGGGCAGAGAGAAGATCTTGACAATTATTGCGCCCATCTTTACATGGTTTCTACTTTAAGGGGAGAAAAAAAGTCTTATTACTCTATGAATGAGAGACACTGCAGCTGCACAAGAAGGAAAAGGAGAGGGAGAGAAAGAGGGAGTTTTAAAGCTAGAACGTGAGATGAAAGCAGATTTCTCCCCTCTCCCCGCTTAAAAAAAAAAAAAATGCATCCCAACCTTGTGGTCTCATCCAGGGAAACATTTGAGAAGGAGACGAGCTCTGATTTAAGTGGTCTGGGTCTTCGCCAATATTACCACTGGACGATTTACAGTCAGGATATTGTACCAGCTCGGCCTCTTGCTGGGTCGTAAAAATCGGCTGTCTCTGTAAGTTATCGTATCCGTAAAACTTCGCGGGCTCCCCGTGACAGGCAATCCCGCCGCAGGGGGGAGGCGGAGGCGGAGGATGCGGAGGAGGAGGGGGGGCGGCCTGGTAGGCTGCGGCCGGGCTGCCCCCGCCGGGGTGGAAGTAGTCCTGGCCGGGGCCCGGGCCGCCCCCTCCACCGCAACCCGGCCCGGCGGGCGGCGGCGACGGGTGCGGGTGCGCGTGCGGGAAGCCGGCAGCGCTGTTGCCATAGAGCTGCAGGGCGGCGGCGGCGGCGTGGCGGCTGCCGACCTCGGGCGCGAAGTGACAGTCGTAGTAAGTGGGATTGATGGCCTCGCCCGCCGCGGCCGCCGCCGCGGCCGCCGCCTTGTACTTGGAGTACAGCGGGTTCACGAAGTACGAACTCATCGGGGCGGCCGCGGCGGCCGGGGCCCGAGGTCGGGCGGCCCCGGGCAGGCGGGCGGCGCCGAGCAGGCAGAGAGCGCGCCTCGGCGCGGCCGCACTGCCGCGGGGGCCTCTGGGGCGGCTGCTCGCGCCGCTGGGGCCGCCGGACTACGTTGCCGCTGCCGCCCGCCTGCCCGCGCGCGCGTCGCCTCTGAGGCCCGGCAGCCGCGGGCGCTCCGCTACTGGGCGCTCATGCCCGGCTCTCGCGCCCGCCGCCTGGGCCTCGCACCGCCTCCCTTGCGGGTCGCGGGGCCTCGCCCAGCCCCCGCGCTCCACCGCCCGCCCGGCCTCTCCCGGCGCGCGCCGGCTCGGCAGCAATATAATCGCCGACGCCCCGGGTGACCTGCCCCGCTGCCTCCACTGTTTCCTCTCAGGCACCAGGCGGCCCTGAACGCACCGGGACAAGAAAAAAAAGTGCGCCCGGCCCACGGGGACACTCTTTGGCTTCGGTTTACAAACCCCCGCTCTGGAGGGAAAAGAAAAAAACACCCTCTGCCCGCCGCCACCTCTCACCTCGCCCCCCCCGCGGCCCCCTCCCACCGCTCTCGCCGCCGCCGCCGCCGAGGCTGCCGCCCCGGTGCGCCCCGGCGAAGCATTTTCGCACCACGCCACTGCGCGGAGAGGGAGCGAGATAGGGGCGAGATAACCGCGCGGAGGGATCCGCGCGGAGGCGACACCGCTGCTCCCGACGGGACGCCTCACGCCGGCCGGGAGATGCCTCCGCCGGCCTTAAAGGGGGCCCATAAAGCCGCACTGCCAAGGGCTCGCCGTGCCCCCGGGGCCGAGAGAATGCGGTCCGCGGCCGGCGGGGCGGGGGCGCGGCAGAACCTTACACTTGGGGGAGGCAGGGAGGCCACTCCCAGGAGGCTGCGGAGCAAATGACCCCCTCCCCCGGCCCCTAGAGTAGCCCGCAGAGGTTGGCCGTGGCTTTTGCGCCTCTGGACACGCGGGCGCAGCCCAGGGAACAAGGGCAAAAAGCGTAGACGGACCGGGCCCTACATTGAGTTAGGTCCTATTTGAGTGGTTTGATTAAAGGCCACAAGGGTGACCCCCAAACCTGGCATTATCAAAGCGAATCTAAGCTCTCCTTTCGCAGCCGAGCGGGCTTGTGGAAATGAGATGTACATTTACCCTTGACGCACTGCACGCCTGGCTGAGGCTCCCAGGTTAATTGATATTTAATGGAAATCATGCCCATGAATATAGTTTCCATCATTTCACCCTTGATAGACGTCAGCACCGGGCGCAGGGGGGAGGCTGAAGAATGTGGGGGGAGGCATTAGCATTGCTGAGGGAGTAAATAGAAAAGCGGACAGAAATGTTTCCAAGGCGGGAAGGAGGACTCACGCTGGGGTGGGCAGTGTTTCCTCGGGCAGGACGCGGGCTCCCGGGTCTCCGCCCCGGCGCGGAGCGGACGAGGGCAGGCGGTCGCCCCGGGCGGAGCGCGGGGGGTCGGGGCCCGCGAGTCCCCCCGTGGAGCCTGCGGGCCGGCGTTCGGATCGCGCCGGTTCCAGGCGGCTGCAGGCGGCTGTCTTCTGCTAACGATTCTAGTTCGGCCGCCAAGCCTGTGAAATCGCTGCCGAGAGAGCGGGCGCCGGGCTCAGTTTAAGAAGTTACTAAATTTTCCAAAAGAAAAGAAAGAGAAGGCTCATCCGAGCTTGTGAACGATGAGGAAAAGTCCCGAGTCAAGTGGCAAGTCGAGTGTGAATCGGCAAGATATTCCTGCTTCTAGAAGATCGCTCTAAAGCTGCTTGGCTTACACCGCCAACCGCCTTCTCTCCCCCACATCTTTTTTTCTCTCTCTATTCCCGTTTTAATGTCCAATAAATGTAATAGGTCTCTGATGAGTGCGTTTTCCCTCGCCTACTCGGCCTTTTCCGTGGGCGACCGAGCCCCTTTTCCTTGGGGATAATCCATTGTTGCGAGGGCTCCAGGCCCACCGGCCTTGGGAACCGACCTCGGAAACACGCCCCGAGCCCACCGAGGAGGCTCCCGTTAAAGCTAAAACACACCACGCCGCTTCTCACGCCCAATGCAAATGTCTGCACCCGCCAGACGGCCCCCCAAGGCGCAGCAGGCGAGTGATTTCAACCACCCCTCACTCCCCGTGGGTTGGCCCAGCCTGTGAGTGCGATCCTGAGGTCAGCCCGGGTGGACTGAATATCGTATTTTGCAAATAGAGAAAATAAGGTCGAGATGGAAAGGCATAAACAAGACAACAATGTCTAAGACACTTTCAATTGTTTCTGCAGGGAATGGCTGGAAATGGTTAAGGTAAACGGATTGCTAATGAATCTTCAGATGATAAAGGCATACTTTATACAATTTTTAAATTAGTAGGGAGTGCAGGAGACTTTCGTTGTTGGGGTAGTGATGGGTAGGGTTTTTTTGTTTTTGTTTTTGCTTTTTGCTGTTGTTTTCTATCGGTTATCGCCAGGTAAGACTTCCTTTAAATCCGAAGGCGCATGAAACCGATTCTGACAGTTAACGATTTGTACTTCAATCTTGCAAATACCCAATTAAAAGAGTATTATTTTCAATGAAGCCTTGGAACTAACTTTGTAATTGTGCCTTTTTATTTCACCGTTTGGCGTGTGTGCGTGTTAACCCCTCGATAAATGAATGGGTTTTGGAATGGAATGAGGGAAAAGAAGAGCTAGCCCAGATCTCAATAATTCAAGGCACGCCCTAGAATAGTGTGATTCCTGGGAGGCGAAAAAGAAACATAAATACTACAAAATTCATTTCTACACATTCTGGCCTAATTAAGAAAAACATTACAACACAGCGTTTCCTCTTGGGACAAAGCCGGTCTCCCCCTCCCCCCCGGCCCCCCAAGCATTCTGTTTATAATCTGAATGGGAAAAGAGCACGATTAACTTCGTAAATAAAAGATCGATGCTTTTACACGTTTCTGTTTTGATAGAATGCATTAACTTACCATAACGTTTTATAGTTTCAGCTGCGCCATAGACCAAATTTCCTGAAATCCTGACTAAGCCAAAATTTTATACCTAACACACACGGCTGGAGAATGTAATAGTGCACATTGCTTCTGTTAGGTTAAATTTATCCTAATTTGGAATTAAAAATAAGATTGTAAATATTTTTACTCAAAATCTTTCCCCACAGCAACTCCAGCTTTACGAGATCACAAAGTGGAGCAACGGCGCTCTCTAGTGGCCAAATGCCACCTCGAGCCGACCGGACTGAACTTCCCTTTATTCGACTCAAACCAATTCCAATCTTGTTCCTTAGTTTGGCGCTTGGATCGCTGACACTAATAATGCTTCATCCCTTTGACTGTCAACAAGTCAAGTGCAGCAAACAGAGGCTCCTGAATGCCAAAGATAATTGTGCTCCCAAGAGCTTCCACTAGCGTCTTTTTCAAAAGCTTCCAGTCCTTCTTTTGCCAGACACAGTAGGTCGCAATTCTGTAATCACCCACAATTATAGGAGGGGCAAGATTTAACAAAAATCACAACTGTCTAAATATCAACTGCAGCAGGCTTTTTTTTTTTCAGAGGAGCCAGGCGCTTCGAAAATTAAGAAATTGCAGAAGTTAAATTTATTAATTTTTGTCTTTTAAAGCTGTTAGCATGAAATCATGAATATTTGCTGTTTTAACTTTGTAATTTTAATGCTTCAGGCCCATTTCGCTGGGCAATGCGGGGGGGGGGGGGGGGTGGGATGGAAGCCGAATTAAAAGCTTCTTACTGGATCTGAGTGGCGGTCTGGAAAGGCACGGTTGGGCTGTGTTCATTGGAACTTCTATGCACAATAAATGAGATTTTAAATCTCCATCAAAAGTCAGAGTGAAATGAATTGGCGAAGCATTCCACCTGAGTTTTTTTTAATAAAAGCAAAGACTTTAATCGACTTAGGTGTTTCCTGGGAGGTTAATCTTTTATTCTCATTTTCAAAAATGCCTCCAATTTGGCTGGAAGGATTATATTTTCTATAAGCAAACAGAAATAATTTCCCACAATATTTTTGCTGCAAAGTTTGGGATGGACGGCCAGATAATTTTTGAAAAGGCATTTAAGTAACTTCATCTTTTCCGGGCAACCATGCAACTGGGAGACCCTAAGTAAATGACCCGAGATCACTCGCTTCTCCCAGCCCCAAATAAGAGGCCGATTTTTTCTTAAAGAATGAGCTAAGCTACGACCATAGTCAAATATTATAACGAGCTACTGACCCTAGGCTACTTCTAATATCCAGCCCATTTTAAAAATCAGACATACACCATCTCCTCCTTCCTACCCTCACCCCCATTTTTATTTCCTAGGTGCTCACACCTCACCCGGGGCGCCCAAGCCCCCCGCCTTCTTGGTCCAACGCAGACTTGTTTATATTTTATTGTCCAGATTTTAAGACCCAGTTTTGTCTGCATTTTTCCTTTCCTCCCACAAACACAAACATCAAAATGAGATGGTTTCAAAGCGAAGCGCCGGGCCTGTCGTAAACTCATTACCTCCAGACGTCTCGCCGGCTCGATGGCTTTATGACACCTTGGCTCTTCCTGTTTTCAAAGGGCCCTAGGTATCGGGTTGGCTGCAGGGGCGGGGGTACGCAGCACCTTCTGCCGGATCTGGGCCTTGGCTTTCCCTCCCAGGCCCCCTCTGTTTTTCCTTCAAGTCCCCTCTTTCATCAGGATCCCCCCAAACTCTGCCATCGTCCCCGCCTTCCGCCCAGGCCGCCAGGCGCCGCCGCCTCTCCGGCCTGGAAAGGCTGTGCTGGGCCCGAATCCTCACTTACAATGACCTTCATTTTAGCCTCTGAATGCGGCCCTCAGAGGGCCAAGCTGGGGGCTAAACGTGCACGGAAACTGGGTGGGGGGAAGGGGCGGTGGGTGGGGGCAGCTGTGGAGAGCCTTGACCATTTTGATCCGCTAAGGTCACTTTGGGGCTCCTGCGGGGAGGGGCGGAAGCTCACAGCCTCACCGGCTCAGCCCTCCCGAGGCCAGCCAGCCCTGCCGAGCTGGAGGAGCTGTTCCAGAGCGCAGAGCTGGCCTTTCCCTTGTTTGGAGAGGGGAGTCGATGGCTGGGACTCCCTGAGCAGAAGAAGACTTGGGGTGCGGTGTGCCAAAGCCCTCGCGAGAGGGTGCCTGGCTTCTGGGGCCCATCTCATCCAGTGGGCACTGCTGCGAGGCTGACCCCGGGCCAGGCCGGGGCACAGAGCTCAGTGAGGCGCTGGAGGGGGGCTGAGGGAGGGACATGGCCACCAAGGGTCCCCCAGGGCTTGTGCTCTAGGCTGGGTCTGCCCACACAAAGGGGGACTCAGAGGCACATCAGAGTCTTTTCAGCGCCCCGGATTTTTAGCAGTGTCCCCCAGGGATGGGAGAGAAGTCCCCTGAGGGTGATATTTTGCAGAGAGACAGAGAAAGCAGGCACACAGCGTTCAGGGCCAGCGTCGGGGCTCCATTTGATCAGGTCAGCATTTATTGGTAGGAAGCGGTAACATTTACAACTGGTCCTCAGGCAGAAACCGGGAGGGTCTACACCCGCGGCCGCCCACGCGCGCCGAGCCCTCCCGGGGAGAGAGCAGCTCCTCCAGTGCACTGAGAATAAACCCCCGACCCACCAGAGGCCCTGAGCTTCTCTCTCTGCCTCATTCCAGGTCTCAGTCGAGGGCCCGCGGGCTCCCTGAGGAAAGGGGGCTTTCATAACCGGTGGGCAACCTGGCCAGGCCTTGGCCTGGGCCGGCCTCCGCACGTCGTCGTTCTGCCTTCATTCTGGGAAGTGGGGTGCGCTTGGCCCCTGCTTGAGCAGCGCTGGGAGCTAAACTACAGCACTTTTCAGAAACACAGGGAACATTTACACAGGAGAGGGCTCCTCAAGCCAGCGTGCACTCACAAATCTAGCATTTCCTAAGGAACCCTCGGGCAGAAAAGGGAGGGAGCAGGATAGGGCAAAACCTCAAAGCCACTTGGTTTCTCCAACACATAAGCGAGCAAATACAGAGCCCCCCAAATACCTCACAGAGACCAACCACACAGTCACTTCTACCTAAAAAAGGGGGGAAATGTCCGAATCGCTGGAGAGTTTCTGGAAATCAAGCACCCACAAAGAGAAACCCCACTGCGGTCGCACAGCAGAGCGGTCAGGCCGGCACGCCGGGTCAGTCTCCTTTGGGGCATTTCTCCTTGCTCATCTTTTTCATTTTCATCCTACGATTCTGGAACCAGATTTTGACCTGTCTCTCTGTGAGGTTTAGAATCCTTGCCACCTCGTAGCGCCGGTCCCGGGTGAGGTACATGTTGAAGAGGAATTCCTTCTCCAGCTCAAGCGTCTGGTATTTGGTGTAGGGACAGCGCTTTTTCCGGGTGGAGCGAGCGTGAATCCAGTTTGCTGCGGGGTTGTCTACGAAGAAGGGGGTTTGGAGAAGGGGAGCGAGGGGCGGAGGGGAGGCAGGGAGAGATGACAGGGTGGGGGAGAGAGGTCGTTAAATTAATTTCACCAAGGATGGCCGCTTTTCACAACTTGGGGGGAATTATCATAAAAACCCCTAATGCCCGCGCTCTGTTTACCGTACAAACCGGGCGCCCAGGGTAGGTGGTTATGGGAAGCTTTTTTATGGATGCGTGTTGCTCGCCCAGGCTAGGGTAGGCGTCTAGACGTTTTTATAGGTTAGTAAAACTATCAGTTTTGCACATTCGAGCCTTACAGGTTTCAGCAATAAATCAGGGGGCAATTTCTTTTGCACTTACTTGGGTCAAGTTGCTGCTGCGGCGGCTGCGGCTGCTGCTTCTCCTCCTCCTTCAGCGGGCAGCCCGGGCTCGGATGGTCGCTGCAAGTCGAGGGCTCCGACGAGCCGCCTGCCCCGGACCCGGACCCGATCCCCGCCCCGGGCCCGGTTCCCCCAGCCGCAGCTGCCACCTTGTCCCGTAGGAACGAGTTGCAGGAGAACTCGGGGCCGCCACTCCCCTGGGACTCCCGGGCCGCGGAGCACTCAGTCCGTTTGGAGGAAGAAGACGAGGAAGTGGAGGAGGAGGTGGAGGTGGCGGCAGCGGCAGGGGTCGGGGCTGCTCCGGTTTCAGGCTTAATCCCGTAGTGGCGCCCGTTGGGTGGGCCGCTGGGGCCGGGGCCGGGGCCGGGGCTGGGACCAGGGCCCGGGCCACCGCCGCCTCCGCCTCCCCCTCCGCCACCGCTACCGCCGCCGCCCGCGCCGCCCGGGAAGCCGGGCAGCGGCTCCATCCAGGAGCGCATGTAGCGGCCGGGCTCGGAGGCGGCGGCGGCCAGGGGCGGCGGGGGCACGTACGGGTGGTAGAGGCCACTCATCGCCGCCGCCGGGGGCTGGGCCGGCACCGCGGACCACGAGGCGGAGAACACGGCCGATTTGGGGGCAAAACTACACGAGGCAAACTCGGCGGCAGCAGCGGCCGGGCTGTCGGCCACACCTGCGGGCCTGCCCTGCGCGCTGGGCCCCGGCGGTCCGAAGCGCGCGGCGAACACCTCGTCGCCCTCATGGCCTATGAGCGAGTCCACGTAGTAGTTGCTGAGGGTGCCACTGGAGGACATTTTGAGGCGCCGTGCGCTCCCACCCAAGGTTACACTGCCCGCCGCGGCGCCGCTCCCCGCCGGCGCCCGAGCCGCCGACTAGTTCGCAGGCTCCAGCCTCCACCATTGGTCGCGCGGCCCACGTGATCATATTTACCAATACCGGGAGTAAATCAGTCCGCTAAACTGGGGGCTGCTGTGATTTAAAAAAAAAAAATCATCAACATAAGCGCCGCAATTAGAGCCCGCGGGCTCCGGCCCGTGCGCCGGGGCTCGGCCCGGCCTGGCCCGGCCTGCCCGGCGGCGGCTGTGACCACACGCCCGAGCGCGGCCGGAGGAGGCGCTGGGGACTATTTGTTCGCCTTCTCTTGCCGCCCTCGGTCTTGCAGTTTGGTCCCTGGCGCTGCTGCCCCAGTGCCTGGGCTCCGGGCTACCGGCCGCGCGCCCTGGGCGCCCCGAGTGCTTGGCCAGAGCCGAGGGCAGTCGGGGGCGCGCAGGGCCGGGTGCGGGCCCGAGGCAGGCCGACCTTCTGAGGCGGCCCCCTGGCGCCCGAGGGGAGTTCTTCTCGCTGTGGCTCTCTCCTACCCAAAGCCACCCCCTCCCTACACATACCCACACACACGCTCGCTCACAGCTTGTCGTGTTGTTTAAAACAGGTGGAAGACCTCTGTAATGATATTATGCCTTTCAATAAAAATTTTATGAGGTGTATTTGATTATAGATTAATGTGTCCCTAATAAAACGGACGGATGGAGCAGCTCGGAAGGCCCCCTCCCCCTGCCACACTCACACACGCCCGCGTAGCCACACACACCCCGACGTGAGGCTGAGCACACGCCACGGCCCGAGGGGCGAGCTGGGGCGGCCTGGCCCGCGGGCTGGGCGCGGCGGCGGCCGCGGCCAGGGCTTCTGTCTGCCCTCGGAAGGGCTGGCGGGCTGGCGAGTCGGCACCGTGCGGACAGTGGCGGCCAGGGTGCCTTGTCTTCTCCGGGGCTGCGGGAAAGACCCTGGAAGAGAACAGGCCATAAGGCAGGACCCAAAGGCTAGCGCAGGCCCGCTCCCGCCCGCCGCCGCGACCCTGCCTCCAAGACGCCAGCAGGACTCGCATCTCCCTGCGCAGGTCCGCTTGGCCTGGTCCCCACTTGGAGGTCTCCAAGTGGATTCCGGAGACGTCTTAAAAACGGCCTGGTCCTTGGGCTACTCTCTTCTGATTTTTTTTTTTTTTTTTTTTTTTGCCTCCAGAAGTAAGGCTGGGTAGCCTTGAATCTGAGGGAGATGCCCATTGTCACTCCCAAATCCATGGTACAAAGCCTCGGAAGCCGGCTGGGAGCCAAGACAAAAGCGGCCCAGGCGGCGGAGGATGTATTCCTCGCTCTACAAGTTGCCCAGCGCACCCTTGGAGGGCTCCCAGCCCACCTCGAGCCCCGGAAAGGAAGGGGGGAAATGGCTACTTATGGCCTGATTGATTGCCTTTGCCAATGGCTTTCTGATTTCGTTCCAGAGGAGCTGCCTTTGCCTGTAGCACGGGTTTTCCTCCGAGACATGGCCCCCTGTCAACAACTAATGGCGCTCCCCACATCGCGGGGAACGCGCGAAGTTAAATTTGCCCTCCTTCTCCTGCCCAACCAATGGACGTCTGGGCTACTCTATCCCAGTGTCCCAACCTGGCACTGATTCTGAGCCATCTCTCTCCCACCCCTAGGAAATGACTCCCCTAAAGGGTTCTGTCTTGGAATTGGGGAAAGTTCTTGGTTTTCAAGAGAAGTTTAAAACTCTGAATGAATGGCGGGTCTCCCGAAGACTCCTTGGGTGAGAGCTCTAAGGCTTAGATCCCCTAAATACATTGTTTTCAGGAAAAATGAAAAGGAGGTGTTTTGTGAAGCTGCTGGAAGCAGTTGGAGACCCTTTGAAACTGCAGCACAACCTGGGGTAACGAATTCTCTGTCGGCTCTTTTCCCCAAGGCCTCTCCTCCCTTCTCCCTGGCAGGACTAGATGAGTCTGGACTCTTGGGCTGAGGATCCCACAGTACATGTACATGCTAGTGAAAGCTGGCTGAAGTTTTCCGAGGCTTGGCAGCAGCTGGAACATTACACTTCATGGGAAGTCATGTTCATTTGCAAATTCTCTTTCAGTCACCCTTTGTACATTTTCCTTCTTCCCAGATACAGTGGCTCCAACCAGCATTTTGTAATTAAATAGAGGGAGGATTAACTGGGAAAAATCTTTTCTTCCTTTAAAAAAATTACATGTGGGCCACTAAAAGGTAATGACTGAGCATAAAATCCTTCCACAAGGAAACCAAGGCAAAGTGGGATGGGAAAACTCACCCATCCTTGACTTCTCTGTGGCCTGGCTGTCTTGCGCTTGGGATGGGGGTGGGAGTGAGGGAAAGGAGTGGGGGAGAATTGGATCCGCTGTAATGCTAAGCTGCTGCTTGTCCTTGCTCCTGTAACAGAGGCCCGGCGGCTTCCAGGTGGGCAAGACTGGTCTCAAGCCAGCCCCTGACGATGGTACGCCTGCCAGAAATCGCCAAGACCCCACTGAAAGCATTAAAAATAACAAAACCAAAGAGAGGAAGAGACATAAGCAGGGAGCTTTGAGGAAAAAGCAGCTTGGGCACAGGCTTACTTACCAGGCTCCGGCTAGAGGGAAGCTAACACTCACTGAGAATTCAATTATGTTACTATGATGGGGGGAGGAGGGGAGAGGGCTCCCCTTCTTCGCAATTATGAAAACAGCACACCCAGGCTGGATTATCACTTCCCCCACCACTGCCAAATTTCAGCACCCTAGGCCTCCTCCAGCTTCTCTCTCCCATTTCCCCTTCCCTGCTCTCTCTCGCCCCCTCAACTGCCCCAAACAAGCAGTTTAACAGGAAGATAATCTCACCAAAGACTTTCATTTCCACCGTAACACATTTCAGAAAGCAGAGGGAGCGAACTCGTTTCCAGAGTTTATTGCATTATACATGCGACCAGAACATGCACAGAGAGGACAGGTTGCTGTTGTACTTCTACCAAACCACAGATGCACCACAAGGGAAAGGCTACAAGGCATAAGTCGTCAATATTCCATCTCACCAAGGACAATTGCTAAATTCATTTGCAAAAAGATACATTGTAATGTGCTTTTTTAGTCCCCCTCCCCCCAAAGCTTGTGGGTTTTCTTAATTTTTTTTTAAATATATATGTAATTTAAGTACTTTTAAGTACTGGATGTATTCAAAACGCCATGAGCTCATGGACTAACCACACACACAGACCTTTTGTGTTAGGAAAAACATGAAAAAGTCACATTGCTGGATGGATGAATGGATTGATGGGTGCTCTACAGTTCCAATAAGTTAAGACTCAAATGAAAATGCGCAGTAATAGTTACCCTGCATTACGATGAAAAAATAATAAATTACACGTGCTAGTTTTTTAATATATATATATATATACTCAGGGATTACAGATCACTTGCAGCACGAACAGAATGACCCCAAAGTCACATTCTAGCAGGAAAAAAACAAAACAAAACAAAAAACAAAGAGCAATGAAGGTTTTGTTTCCGCCTTCCCAGTCCTCCAGCACTCGGCCCTGGAACGCGGTGCCCCCTCTCCGATCTCGGCCTCTGACGGGCCTCGGACCTAAGAGAAGGTGAGGTTGGCGGTCAGTTCTCGGATCCGGTTCTCTCGGCTCATCTTCTTGAGTTTCATTCGGCGGTTTTGAAACCAAATCTTGACCTGCCTGTCGGTGAGGTTAACGCTCTTACTGATCTCTAGGCGGCGCTCGCGGGTGAGGTACATATTGAACAAGAACTCTTTTTCTAATTCCAGCGTTTGGTGCTTAGTGTAAGGGCACCTCTTCTTTCTGCCACTCTTTGCAGTGAGCCAATTGCTGGTTGGAGTATCAGACTTGATTTCCTCTAACAAAATTAAAGGGAGAAGAAGAAAAAAAATCAAGAATTTTTTTTTCTCTCAGTCTGTTCAAATGTACCCTTGGCCATGACCCCGCTGGCAGCCAGGCTGCTTTGGGAAATGCTGGTATTAAACATTGCTCACATGAGGTGGGCCCTGGAAGGGATTTGTCATTGATGCCAGATTAGTTTAAATGCCCAAAATGACACGATGGGCGGGTACTCTCGCCCTCTGTGTCAGGATTCTCTCTCTCTCAACTTTCTGACCTGCACAAAACATTGATACAACAGCAAACTTTCAGGATCTCCCCAGCAACATTCTAAGTGGTCAGCTCATAACAGGGCTGGAGTGGAAGAAGCAAACCTGGACAAGCCTACCAACCCCATTGCTGCCTCAGGTCCCCAAGTCCGCCACTTCTTCCCCACTTCTCCTAGGCAGGCAGGAAGCTCCACAACGAGGTCTATAGGTGACCATTTTCTTTCAAAAGATAACCGACGAACCGAGTACACCTTCTCCACCCTGCCTGGAAATTTCCTGAATTCTCATGTCTTCTTGCCCTCACACAAAAGCATTCTCCCAGAAATGTAGCCCCTTACTGTGGCCCACCTCTGGGCACGGGTGGGAGGAAAGGCTCAGGGACAGGGTTCCTTCACAAAAAGCCAGAGCCCCTGGCTCTTTGCCTTAGCCCAGCCCTAAGGCTGGCCCTGCCGGTGGGCCATGCAGATTCCATTCTCCCCAGTTCAGCCTTTGCCCCATTTGCAAATGGATTGCAGAGCTTGCGGCACTTTCCCCAGACAAAGCCCAGGTTACCTAGCCCTGCCGAGGCAGGCAGCCCTGTTCCCTGGCCCAAGCGCCAACCGGCCCAGCCATCTCCTTCCCCTTGCCGCTCCCAAGCTCGCACGATGCGGGGTGCATACACTTGAACACGAACACGGTGCCTTGGACCACCTTAAAATCATCACTGGATGAAAGGCAAGGCTGGGACTGCAAATCTGAGCAGGAGAAAGGAGGTTCTGGGGCCGTGTTTACCAGCCGCAGGTCTCATTTGTGCTCTTTTGTTGCATTTCAGGTCTAGCTCAGGAAAAATAAACCCGGCAAGCCCTTCCTCTGCCCCGGCGCCATCAGCATGGGGCCAGGACTAGCCAGGAGGGCCAGGGCAGCGGGGGAGAAGCAGGGACCACCTCGGGACTGAGACTGTCCCTCTAAAAGCCAGGAGAAGCAGCACCTGCTAGTTGGCCCGCCTCGGCTGCCCAGGCTCGGCACTGGGCACCCAGGCGCGCTCCCTCTCTGCCGGGTTCCCAGGCTGCACGCCCCGCTGGGGTGGCAACTCTGCTCATACCGACCTTTGCTTTCCTTCTCCTGTACTTCGGGACTGGACACGGAGACCTCAGCCAGGCAGCTCCTCTCTTCCGGAAGGCCGCCCTTGGCCTCGGGGCTCTCCACCTGGGAGACTTTGGTGGACTCCTGGCCGCTCGAAGCCTCGTTCATCTTCTTTTCCATCTGCAGCTGGGCGGCCGAGAGCTGCGGCTTGGCCGCGCCGCGAGGGTTGAGCTGGAGCATGACTGTGGAGCTGCCTTCGGGGCTGTTATTGTACTCTTGGGTTTTCCCGGTGGCGTAGGTCTGACTCAGTCTAAAATATCCAGGGACAGGAACCTCAGGGTTCTCAACGGGACAGGACTCAGGGACCAGCCTCTGGTACGAAGGGACCTCGGCAGAAATGAGTTTGTTGCGCTTATCAGAATACATGCAGCAATTGGATTCTTCCTTAATGTTGGTGGTGAAGGAGCAAGTAGGGACTTGCTGTGTAACAGGTTGCTCTATTCGACAAGATCTGTTCGGGTCTGTCCAACTGTCTACTTGAGGTATATAAGGATGCACATTCATACCCATATTTTGGTGGTTCACTTCTCTTTTGGCCAGAGACGGGAGCAGTCCACAGGTTTGCATTCCATAGGTCCCCATGTCTGCGCTAGGTGGTGGCATGTACATGCTGGCGCTGCTCGAATAAAAACTGTCACTCCTGCAGGCACTGATCAAGGAATCTACTAAAAAAGTATTAGCAGCAGGAGAGCTGTTGGGAAAGGACATTTTGGGGAGGAATTTGAAGAAGAGAGATTGTGTCCTTTGTAGGCTGACATCTCTAGGAAAACATTCCCCGTGTAATTGTGGATGCCTCTGCCGACCACATGACAACCAAGCCAATGAGATTTGAAAATGGCCTTGAGCCGCAGCCTCCTCGCAGGTCACGTGCTCCAGAGCCCGGCCGGCCGGCCGCGTAAGCACGGACAACAGCGA